TTCATAAGCTTGATTTTTGACATTTGGTTTCAGTTTTAATAAAACTCCTTAACAGCACGCGATCTATTCTCGACTTTTCGCTTCGATTGATTTCTAGTGAATAAAATGTCGATTTGCCGGAAATAGACACATTCTTTCAAAATAACTATTTTTAAAAAGATCTCGGTAAGTGTCACTTTAGTATATAAAAATGAATCGGCGACATAAAATAGTTGCAGAGTAAAATTTGCTTTAATTCCAGATTCTTTCTTTATAAATGTTGAAGAAATCATCGAAAATTTTGTTGCTATAATTTAAGATTTCTCTTTTCCCTCACGACTTCTGTTTAGCTATCGTAATTTTCAAAATGCATTCTCCTACCAGAGTGTACGACGAGAAACATTGAAAAGTGTGTTAGTCGCAGGTTTCAAAGCATTCGTAGAATCGTTCGAGCCCACTTTTAACGACGAGCGCATTCTACCAGTCGCATTGGCGTAGCATCGCATGCTGTTCCCTTTTTTATGCGTTCCATGAGAGCAATTCCCTTTTTTTTCCAGAGATCAATCATGTACAAAAGTGTATGCCGATATCAACAAGTATTCTTTAATATCAAGATGGGTGTCAAATACGTTCTCCCCTCTCGCTTCAGCAATTGTACATATAGCATCCAAAGTTATGAAAATTGAGATAGATATTGGACATGAGAAGAGATGGATTGCATCCTTATTTGTATAACAGGAATGTCCTAAAACTTCGCTTCCCTACGCTATTGACTTAAATGAGTCAGAATGTTTTGGCTTGTGATCAGAGGGAGACCATTGTGACCGGAATCGGCAAAATTGTTTCTCTGAACATAAACTGCAGCCTAGTTTCGTATAGTAGTTACGCCTGAATTTTATAGCGCTAGTTTTGTAACATCTAATTGATTGGAAAGCTTTCCAGTAGGTTTCCTTCGCTTGTTTCACACGCTGAATTTTGAACCGTCAAATAACTTTGAGTCATTAAACAATAACAGATTTTTAAATGCAATATTTATGAAAAATAACCTCAAATCCAAATCCAAATATTTCCCAACTATTCTGTGGCGTATTGTGACGTTCAAAGCTTTCTTAATATTCTACTAGCCTCGATACTAGTCTGCAACATGCCGGGATTACGAACGTAACTTTGAATATTGACAAAAATTACTATCAGTAAGGAACATAGCTTTCATTGCATTTCGTATAAATTCCAATGTGGTAAGGATGTTGCGGAAGTATATGAATCTGTTTGCTTCTTTTCTCACCGACGATATCGTGTCGTATATGCATGTTTGACTTTGACGATGTAAAGAGGGTGATTTCTATCTCGATAACCGACAGCGTTCAGGTTCAGGTTATCCTCAAAAGTGTGAAAGTAGTGATATAAGGAATAAAATTAAAAAAAAAATCGAAACACGGGCGAAGTAAAAGTAATTATGCATGCAATCGCAAGAACTCGTCTTCGTAATGCGGTGGCGTTTTCGGTTCCGGTTGAGCCGGCGCCCTCGGCTCTAATCGAGTATGTCGCTTGTCATATCGCTGTCAAAGATGGCAGGTGGCGGCGTTACATAAGCAAAAGAGATACGAAACAAATAACAATGGTTACTACCTAAGCTCGCCAAGCAACACGCGTCGCTACGGTTTTATATGTTTTATGCGAATTTAATTGTTGTCGGATAATGCGTCGCGCAATCGATACGACTAATGCTGCACGATGGCCGTTCCAATTGCCGTGATATGCTAAATAAATAGCAGCAAACGCAATTTGCATTTCCGCCCCGTCCGTTCACTCGATAATCACAATGAAAATAGTCGTGTGTGCTTTAATTATGCAAAGTAAATATCGCTCATTATGTTAATTACAATGCTTCACGTATCAACGTGACCTTTTCTCTTCTGCGAGTAAGAATATACAATTGTAGAAAAAAATAATTGACTCGCATTATGCATTATAGACACATCCATCACGTGTTTTCTCTCCGCTGTAATTTCTTGAGATATATTTTAAAACATCTGTGTCTCTTTAATAACGATAAATCATTAACCGAGTGCCATATTACTCGACACACGTACGCATACAGCTTTCTGATTGACATTTTAAATATAACACCAATTGATCTTCAGATCTACAATTAGGAGAAAGTGCACGACATCTGAAGAACATTCTTTCTTCATGTGTCTTATTATATTACAATCGACAATTGCTGCATGGAATAATGTCACATGGAAACGATCGGTCATTTTAACGATTACTTTGTTTCATCGAAGCTATAGCGTGTCGGCGCTCTTCTCTTTGGGGCATTAAGCGTACTTCGAACAAAATAATCACAAGGAGTAATATTGCTCGTACGCATAAATACATTTCACTCACGTCACGCGAGTAATAGCCGGTTTCATTACCCGCACGAAAAAGTCTTGGCTCTTCGGCTCTTCGGGAATGCAGCAGTACGTGGACGTTAATTATGTATTTTGCACGTACCTGTATTTTAACGTTTTGCCTTTACGTCCTTTTTCCCGCGCACAACGATGACCACGTTCCGTAATGATCCCTCACAACAGCAATATTTTTCGTACCTGTATCTCCCCCCGATTAAAGCAAATTAAAATTATACCTTCTCAGAAAAGGAGACAAATATGGTGTCAGAATTGCTTTTACAAACTTTTCTTTTGAGGAAACGCGGACGGGCGGGCGATGAAGCCAAACGGGCACTGGCTAACAGAATGAATATTTCGGAACGATGCATCCGGAAACGAATTTATAAGTTTTATAAGTAAATAAAATAATATAAGAATAAGAATTTATAAGTAAATGGAAATAAGTTTATAAACTTTTCTACAGATTTCGAACATACTCTGGCTACTTCGTTCTTTGCTCACTCTATTTGATGATGCGTGCAACTTGAAAGCACCCAATAGTTGAGTATTTAAAAAATATTAAGATGTATTTGACACACATTTCATGTACATTCTTAACAAAAGAGGGAGAGAAAGAGGGAATGGGGAGAGGGGAGTGAAGAACCGTGCTTCTAAGTCTAAGAGAACAAAAAGGGTTATCGAGCGAACGGCGCGAGCTGGCGAGCTAATGTAACGTGACGACTTCGACTTGTCCGCACACCATTAAAGTGTCACTCGCCGTCTTCGACGATTTCGTACGTGCAGGTCTGATCGCGCGACGACGGCGCGAGTGAATAATTCGCTCCTAATACATTATTGACAATGCTCTACTATATACGGTTAGCAGCGACGTTGCAGTAGTCGCAAAGTGCAGTAATGATAACATCAAGACAGAAATTCACGTCTAGTGACGAGCTGAAAGCGCATCAAATTATTCGGGATGTATAATGTAAATCTTGTCGCGTTTCGATTATTGCTTGAAACTGAAAAACCGGAGATTCAACAAAATCTCGAAGATCTTGACGATTTTGAAAATTTTTGATGTGTCCGAGGCATAAAAAAAATGCCGAGTCATTGGAATATTTCTCCAATATCCAATTATCTTACACTCGGCAAGATAGACTTGACACGCATAACCAGATTATTAGGATTTTCTAACTGTATATGATTTACTATTTATCGATTGTTCAAAGGAGCGAAAACAATGCATCAAGTTAGACTGTTATTGTGATATCTTTACATTAATATCCAGAAACAAATATATACAATTATAAAACATTAGTAACCCAATTAGACTACATGTTAAAGGGATTCTTCCAGTTGGTACACATAATACCTTAAAGAAACGGAAGACAAAATCAGCTGATGCTGAAGATAAAAGAACAGATAGCTGGTCCTTGGTTTCCATGACTTTTGTTCGAGAGGACTCGGGTAGTATAAGTAAGTGTACTTATTTAAATGGTAGATACCAATATATTTAAATATAGGAACATCTTCTACTTATACTGCCAGGACTATCTTCTATCTACTATCTGACAAGTCTATCTTGCTGAATGAACTTAATTATCCGAGAATTTTCGGGACAGATATTTTAACACTCATGCGTTACGGTTGCCATTATCGTTGACATCTAAAGATGTACCTATCCCAATTAGAGACAGTGATACTGGTAGGATCACCGACACCGACCTACACTAAGAGAACACCTCTCGTCGACACTCGCTTTATATTTCGTCACTCGATTCTATCGAGCGAGCAAACGCGGCCGTGCCGCTCGGTCGTCGCTCCAATCTTCGCCGGTATAACGTGGAATTAATAATATCTGACAATCTCTCTCGCTAATTGCATGAATCATCTGTTCTTCCTGCATCGTGTTAGCGTTAAGTAGTATGCGGAGACACGTATAATCTAATCGTCTTACACGGAACATATACTTTTCATGTACGATTGTTATCTCGCTGCAGAGAAATGCTCTAATAATGATCCGCGATGGCAAGAAGGACGAGTAATTAATATTTCAAGCAATGCTTAATAGATAACGCTCTTTTCCTCTTTTCGGAAGAAAAATAATTATGTAAATTGTGGCGACGCAACATTTAAGTGACTACTGTTGATACTGAGATATGTTGCTTTTATTAGATATTGGTCACATCCAACTTATATTTCTAAACCATCCAATGTTCGATTCTTTTTTAATTATCTAACGAAAATTCAATAAAGGTGTTTCATAAAATTACATTTAAATGGAATTGTATTTTATAATATTTTTATTGTCCTAATGAATTAACGAAACCCAATATAAAAAAGTATTACATATAATTACATTGTGAAGATATAAAATTTTATTGAAACAAAGAATCATTATGTTGCGCTTTAGATAAAAATTTAAGAAAAATTCTTTTCTCTGCGAGAGAGCCAAAAGAAATTGTAAATTGTATTGAAATTAGTTGTATTAAAATATACAAATCTGTGAATAAAATTATTCAATTTTATTTTATCTGTGATGTGCTCGTACGTAATGTCGAAATCACGATTTTAATCATAAGTAGTCGATTAAGGCAGACAGAGTGAAAGATGGGGAGGGAGGGAGTAACAATAAATATCTACCTGCTAGTCTGTCCTTGAGATGCGGATGCGCTTGCAGTGGATGTGCCGCGAGGTTCGCCAGGAGACTCGCCCGATGAAGACCGGCTGCCGCCGCCGCTTGCTGCTGCTGCTGTTGGCTATGTTGAAGAGCTTGCAGACTCCAGGGTGCAGACATAAGCGCAGCTTGTGTCAAGGCACTGCCGGTCGGCGCGCCATTCGGTGGTGGTCTGTGTGCCGGTACCCGTATAACGCCACCGCCGGTGTAGATAAGACCAGCGGTGGTACCGGTAGGGAAGAGTCTGAAGGGGGCGAGTAGATCTGCCGCTGCCACTGCCGCCGCCGCCGCCGTCGCCGAGACGCAGTGAACGGAGGACGAAGAGGAGGAGTTCGCACGTTGGGTGTCTGGTGTGCTGCCGCCGGTATCGTCATCATCCCTCTCCGACAGCTTCTCTTCGACGTCGTGGTCTCCCCAAGATCGCCTGCCGTCATCCGCAACACCGCTCCGGTTGTTGTTGTTATTGTTGTTGTTGTTACCTTCCTCCCAAGACCACTTCCTCTCTCTGTCGCTATCTGGCTCTTCCGACGGTGATGGGCTTTTGAGATTTTGTACGCCGCTCTCACCCAATAAACGGCTTATGCTGAACGGGTGGCTGCGAGGAGAATCATTCGGTAGCGTCCTCGTACTCGCGGTCTGACTGGGAGGTGGCGAAGTGGAGCATTCGGAGGTCTCCTGAGACACGTGGTGACGGTCACCGCCATCGTGGCTCGTGTAATTCCGTGGACTGCAACTTTGGGAGTCGGAGTCGTCCACATTGATCTCCTCCGTCGCATCTACGTCGCTGTCGCCGTGCTCCGACATAATGTACTATCTAACCTCCACCTCCACTTTTTCCTCGCAAAAACTCGCTGCTCGGAATCGATCTCCACGTAACAATGCACTTCAGACTGCGGATATCCTTGTTAATAATCCGCAAAGCGACATTGCGAAGGGGACGTTTAATCCCGGTAGAGAGACATCAATAGCGATGAAGTCGCAGAGACAAGGACTAGGTTGTGGATTATAACGAAGTCAACTTCGATACGCTCAGTGTCTTGATTTGTTGCACGACCTATTCGATAAGGGTTATCATACCGACCACCTCATGAATTTCCCCCTGAGCGGCGGCCATTTTGTTTCTATATGCGTACGCTACAACTGGTATCATTTTTATCTCAGACAAGAATCACACCGAACATCCATTTTTCTGCAAAGTATCTTACGAATTTACGCCACGCCTTCAGCCAATCTAAAACAACTCTCTGACGCGAACTCTGTCACTTTCATTCATTGGTTCAGTCAGTCATTGATTTTTTGGCATGGAAACAACACAATTCTACTTATTATAACGTAAATTTCGTCAGATAAATTTTGTCTTCAGAAACGATCTTTCGGAGAATCCATTCTCGACTTTTGTGCCTGTTCCATTGAGCACATTAGGGCTTTGGATAAACAGTCTCTCGAGGTTGGTCTTATTGTCATTTTGGGCTTTGGAATTTTTGGATTTCTTCGAGGACCAAACTGACCACTTCACTGTGCAATTGTTTTAAACTGCCATTGAAAATATCCTTCGATCTCTTTGAGGAAATCTTATAAACTCCGAACACAAAAAACTCTATTGTTCACACTAGGTCTCAGTTGCGCCGAGGTTTAAAACTACAGATTAATGAGAGCACTGGGCAGGAACGCGCGCACGATAGGGAAATTCCGCACCTCATGCAAAACGTAACAGGTTGCTTGCTCGCTCACGCGATCGCACTAATTCCACCAGTCTTCAAAAATCAATTTCCGAAGGAGATTCATTCGTAGACAATAGGGAACCCACGTTCTCCGGTCCGGCGAAACTCCAAGTTTCATCGACTAACTAATCTGAGCACCACCAGCGAGTGCGTGAATCCCGAATCGGTCGCGTCGAGAAAGACGGCGGGGACGTATATGAAAGTATCAGGCGAAGAAACCAGGTGGTTCATCCCTACCTAACTACTCAACGCTGTACAACGCGGCGCGTAGCGATGAGAACCAGCGATTCACATAGCATCTAGACGCCCTCAAAACCAGCCCACCGTTCGCCGTTCGACCAATCCGACCATGGCGTTATACGCCCACGGGCGCGCGCATTGGTCCGCTTGTTAAATTGATACCTATTTAACATTTGAGCAGAATGTTGCAGCCACGATCGCTCGCTTTTTCCCCTGTATTATTTATCGCTCGATCGTCTCCTGCCTCCTTTTCCACCTCCTTCTCTTCTCTCTCTCTCTCTCTCTGTCTGTCTCTCTCTCTCTCTCTCTCTCTCTCTCTCCCTCTCCCTCTCCCTCTCTCTCCCTCTCCTTCTCCTTCTCCCTTTCTCTGTTATTTTTTTCTTTGCACCGTTTCTTCTTCTGGCTATCCTTATACAGTCCTCTCTTGTTCTTTCGGCTTTCTCTCTCTTTCTTATTTTCTTCGACGCCGATCGTCGCGTCGCGCCGCATTGAGTCAAGGAAGCGACGAGACTTAATTACGGAGAATATTCTCACTCTGGTCTCTCCCCTTCTTGTCCCTTCTCCACCCCGCCTCTTTCCCCTTCTCTTCTCTCTCTCTCTCTCTCTCTCTCTCTCTCTCTCTCTCTCTCTCTCTCTCGTTTTGTTCGTCCACTCACCCTCCCAAGTTATCGTACTGTATGAACAAATGCATGAAGCTGCGCTATTTCCTTTCTCCTAGCTTTTAAACATATGAGTGAAACGATTAATAAATATAACGTTAGTTCATTGATTCTTAAGCGGAAATTTGTTAAATTTAACTTTTATAACATAGTGTTTCCAATTTTTGGACATCTTAGTAATTTTAACAATAAACATTTTGAGATCGTACTCCTAAAATATATTGATTGGTTTAAAAAACTAATATTTTTATAATTAAAAAGTGAACAATTGATCTTAGAAAAAGTCTGTCACAAATTTCAAAATTTGTGCAAATTTTCAGATTTCTTTAATTGTGCAAAATGCAGAAATGTGTATTATTTTTTTCTTTTCGAAACATTCTGACTGGCATAATTGCCTTAACAGAAATGAAATTATATAATTCCAGAGCGTAGTGTAGATTTATACTGTAGAATAATATATCTTCATGTGTCAGGGCAATTATGCCGCTCTGTTAGCAAACATATCTCTGATTCTGTTTCTCTAAAATATATTTATCGTTGTCGTGAACTGTCATAAACTTCCGTAAACTTACTTGTAACAAATTTGCAATTTTAAACATGAAATGAATCTTAGATTGAAGCAATGAATAAATGACATCGGTTGTGCAATATGTCTCTGCCGTTTCAGTTAAGAATCAATATATATTGACCTTAAATTTAACAAAAATAAGGGCTCTAAGAACCGACAACAAGTCATGATGATGACCCATTATCTAATAAATTCCCTCGTTGTTCCATTATTGTCCAACTGTCTCATCCTCATCTAATTATCGTGCAAATCGGATACTAACTGGTGATTCTTCTCGGGAGGAGTGGATCGATATCTCTTGCCGGGAAATTCCTTATGACCGATCGATTAGTCGCACCACCCCTTTAGGGGTGGTTGTCTCGACCGCGTAAATGCGCGGGCGCGTCCTTTTATACGAGCTATGAGTTTAAAATGGTGACTGTCGACAGACTCGACCCGCCATTTTCCACGTCCTATCGGGAAGACATATATTCCTTTTCCCTTAATTCAACGAGGTAGTGTTTATAGTTTATTCCTGCGTTCTCTAAGTTATGAAGGATTTTACTGTACTGCACGTATAAATTTATCACCAGTTTCCCATAGCTTGGCGCAACATTTAATCTTTACTTTTTAACATGAATTTAAAATGATTTGATACTGAAGCTCTTCGGTTAAAGGTGAAGTGGATGAATAAGATGTTTCTGGAACTTAATTAAACATCTGCTTTTTTATTTCTTGATATTATAAATAATATGATATTGATAATATAAATATGGGATTAGTTTTCAATTTCAGGATTCTGATTATTTGCAAGTGAAGAAAAGTGTCTAACTGGAATACTGCAGTATATTACTTGTAGAAGGGACGAATTCCTTGGCACATTATAAAGATTGAAAAATAATTGTCATGTTCTTCGCTGTTGCTCGTGATATATTCGATTCGGCAGAGAAACGAATAAACCAGGAACTTATGCGCCATATTGCGCAAGAATATTTCGATTGTCGATTCATTTGAGAGCAATCTACCGTGCTGTGTTTGCGCAATAAACATTGCGGTATCTGCTGCTGCTGCTGCTGCTGTCGTAATAACTGCAAAATGATTCGCCGTACACGTAGAGTAGTGAGCGGCGAACGGCGAGTGGCGCGATTCAGGTTCAGGTTCTTTCGCCTTTTGCATTATACCGCCACGCGGACTTTTTTAATGGCCGAGGCACGTATTATTGCACAGTTCTCCAGACGCGCGATTTAAGCTCTAGACGAGTCGCTGAGCATTATGGTGTACGCAGTACTGGATGCCTCAGGAAAGAAGATCGATACCTCGGCGACTATTATTCGTGACAGTTGATAGTTGCGTGTCGAAAGTTTTATGTGAGATACAAATTGTCTTCCAATCACGTAGTTGCAAATGATACAACAGATATTCAAACTGATTATCGTAATAGTTGACCGCTACAACTGCTTTCATCAGGCTGTTCATCAGGCTTAGCCTGATTTTCAAGACCCTTTTTTCAACTAGTTACGAAATGTGTGTGATTCCTATGCTTATAAAAATATCTTTTCGATCCAAGTGCATCGACAAAAAAGGAGAAACAAAAGAAAGAAAACAAGTATTTTTTGACGTCCATACTTGGAACCGATAACCTGCAGTAGTTACACCTGAGATATGGCTACTGCAATGCGAACGTTAAAAATATCATCACGGGCATGTAAGACCGACCACAGACGTTAATGCCGCAAAGTAATACTTACTTCGTGGAAAAAAAGCCCTCTCTTATATGGTCGCTCCTGCCATTTGTTCGCATTTTCTCTCGAACGTGCGGCCGTCGAAGGCACTTGGATCCAATTCCATTAGTTCTTAAACGTGCAATTATCGCAAATAGAATCTTTTTTCATTGAATAGTCATTGAATTACTCGACCAGATTTTACATATATTTATATTTTATAAAATTTGCTTCAGTTTTAACGTTTCATATAATAGTTACCTTAGACATATAAAATATTTATAAAAGTGAACAGTAGGAAAATATACACGCGGTTTGGAAGCAAAGAAGTCAGATTGGATTAGGCGAAGGATTTTATTTTCCTTTCGAAATAGTTATGCTTTATGTTATGAGCACTTTCTAAATATTACGGGCCGAGTTACAGTTAAAGCACTCTCCGTCTCAAAATGATCCATTCAGCGTATATTAACATGATCCCACAAGAACTCGAGGAATTATGCACGAGGTCTTACCCTTGAACGAGCCAGGTTCATATGCCTCCTTCCACCGTCCTTCCTGCAACAGGAACTGTAAAATTGGCCGCCCTCTCCGACGCGATCCGTGCGTCCCGATCGAGGATCAATTCGGGTGTCAGGCATCCATGTGTCACTTAGACGTTTTCACCGACGCACGAATAATTTATGCTACCCTTTGGAGAACTGGTGCTAAACCCCACACGAGGAGCACGAATAAAGTGCTGGTGAGGAAAAGGGAAAGAGAAGGAGAGGAAAAGAGAGAAAGACAAGAAACAAGAGGTGGAAAAAGGTACGATATACAAGAAAAAAGCCGGGTTGACCGTTCGCTGGCAACAAATGGGGCAACAGGGGGGAAGGAAGACGCGCTGACGTGAAAAAGCCAAGCATATGAGTGTGGTCCTCGAAAGGTAGCGAACATTTTTTATTTAAAACTTTCTGTCTTTTATCAGCACTCGCATCTCGCGACTGCCTTGCGAAATCGTTATGTCGCTGACACGTTGAAAAAATAACTTACTTTTTAGTGACTTTCGCGCGAGAAAACAAGCTGAACTTAATCGGCCCAGATGTGTTGTTAATGAATTGCGCCACGCTCGTCGATCAACATCGACATCTTTTCTTAGTGAAAAAATATCGACACAAAGGTAATTTGTCCTTTCTCACTGTGTGCAATAAACGGCAACAATTTCCTCGTAAAAAGAGTCAATCGAATGGCAATCCGGTGTCGGTCGTTTGGAGATTGGTCTCTGGCGATGCGATTGGATACTGTCGCTCGCGCAATCGTCGGAACGTTCGTTGCATCAACCCCCTGCCGC